CTGTGGACTTGGCAAGCCCGCCTTCAGAATCACAACCTACATTGAAGGATTTGATGAAGAACTAAACTAAGAAATTTGATTACAACAAAGGAACTTCAAATATGAACTAGTTATAGATTTTACTACCAGGGAAGCAACAAAACTTACATCAATATCACTAGTTGGAAGATATAACCCAGTCCTGAAAGACCCAAAAACTTCAACCTGGCAGTAAACAATCATGCAAAACTCCAGCACAACTCAATAGCCCACTAGAGGAAATTAAACTCAATGCAGTAATGACGTCAATAAATGGAGATGACAAAAGAAAAGGATACCTGGGAATGAGGCCATATATGTTTTATAACTTGAAACACAGATTCTATTGCCACGTCGCGTGCAGCTTTTTCTTCCAAAGTAGGTGACAAAAATTCACAAAAATCTACTATCTCTGCAGACCAAATATTTCAAGACATGTTAGCAAATCAGATATAATAAAATATTATTAACACTTTTCACTAAACGATTTCCTCTCAACATTTCATGCCTTGCCAAATTATCATACACATATGACCAAACCCAGGAGTTACAGTGCAGCCATTTAAAGGCTTATTATTATCCTCAAGACTATTCGCCAAAAAAATGCATTACCGTCATACTTGCAGATTTATGTTTAAGATATACACGAGTTAAAAGCCGTTTCCCTTAAGGAGAAACAAAGCCAAACAGTCAAAAACTAGCCAATTACTTACCTTTATGCAGCTGAAGCATGGGACTCCTGAACTTGCAGTTTCCCCGAAACCAACTGCTCTCAAGCTTTGGCTCAGATACAAGAGCCGGCGTCTTCGGTTCAGTAGCTGCAACTGGTTCAGGCAATTGGACGGAAAGCGATTCTCGTTCAGAAACATCATCATTGCCAACTTCAAGAGAAAAGAAATCAGGGGCAGCAGTCTCCGGCGAAGGACATTGAAGGGACGACAGAGAAATTTCGTTCCGGAAAACAGTATAGGGCTCTAGTTCATCGGGACCTGCAGACTGGTCGGGGGTTGAAAGATAGAAGGGACTCAGGGTTTCGTAAAGGACGGATTTGGGGGTGTCAAAATTTTCATCCTCCATTGAAGATTATAACCAAGAACTTGAACAGAGCGGCAAGCAATATTGTGAAAATTAGGGTTTAACGGTTGGCTCTGAAGAATAGCAACGACTCCGGTCAGCAAGACGCTGCTCTCGCTTCTTCCTAATTTCTTGATTCTTGATTTCTCCCGCGATTAGCCGCCTCCGTACTAGGAGCGAGGACATCCCACTTGAGGTCTTTGATGTTCAAATGCCTCCCTTTTTAACTTACCAAAAATATAATTTTTATTTTAAAAAATTAAAAATAACATGGCCAGTCCACAAGTTTGGGCCCTTAGCCCGCCTTTAAGAAGTTGAAGAAACTCCAATCCAACTCGTCATGTTCTAGGGCGTTAACAGGCCGGTTTGCAGTCGACTCATTTGTCAGCCCAATCTTCAATTCAATGACCACCACATGACATTTGCATTCCTAAGAAGACCCACTCCTCGACATAAATCCCAAATCAACACTCTTTTGTGTGGGAAAAGAAATCAAACCGATGGCTTAAAAAACTTAAAAATTTTAGTTAAGATTTATAAATCATCCACAGATTTTGTTTATTATTTAAAAGAAATCTGTAGAATGTGATCTGGAGACAGGTTATTTTCGATGACACACTAAACCGTGATTTGCATGCAAAATAAATACAAATAGTCCAACCAACAAAAAATACCGGTGCTTGGGGATTATTATACAAGTGAAGACAAAACCCTTATCATATATTTATCACAAAATCAGAAAAATTATTTCTAAAAAACTATTTCAAATGTCAAAAATATTTTTAAAAAAATAATCAGATTCTCGAGTTTATATTAAGGGGTGTTTGGATACTTTGAACAGTGTTTCTCAGAAATATTTTTTCGTAAATCGAGATAAACTCTTTTACATATTTACCTCATTTATAAAATCACTTCTAAAACCATGGTTTGTTTCCATTTGGTCTTTTTAAAAACAATCGCGGTTTTTATGATTTGACCGGGTAGATTGATAATTGAATAATATTATATACATATATAAAATAATATTTGTATGAAAATTAAAATATTAAACTCAATTGTTTTTAAATGAGAAAATATGAAAAGACGAAAAGTGACATTTCACGTCCCTCGGAAGTCATATCCATTGGCAGATGAATCATTAGATGCTTCCTCCCTGTTGTCAAAACCCAACAATCAACATCTTTCCTCATCTCCTTTCTTCTTTCCTATTTGCATTTCTCTTCCGGGGGGCTCAGGAGGCTCCACCGTATCATCATCCTCTAGTTATTATTGGGCTGCTGCTGTTTAGAGTTTCTTGTTTCTCTCTCTCTCTCTCTCTGAAACCCGTCTCCTCTTCTTCTTTGTTGAGCACTGGGTTCTTGTTGAAGTTTCATTTTTGTGCTCCAATGAGGTCCAAATCGAGATGTCGCCGCCGAAGCTGTGTCCGGCCGTCGGTTTCTCAGGCCAATGCTGAGCCTAGCCACTTCTTCAAGATCATACTTCCCGGAACCATTCATGCCCAGGATATGGTAACTCTTTGCTTTTCTCTCTGCTTAAAACTGAGAAAATGCAGAAAAGATCACCACCTGCTTCATCACTCTGTTTAACTTGTAATTCCTTACTCAACTCTTCTCAGAGTTGCTATGTAAACCTTTTATGCGAAGGGAAATGAAAGAAATCCGGAGAAAGTCTCTTCAGTAGCAATATTTTTTTTGGCCCGGGGGGGGATGGGTTATTCTGTATTATTTCGAATTAGATGCGAGTTACTTAGTGCTCTGTTTTACGAATGCCAGTGCTCTGTTTTGTCTTTTTGGGCTCAAGTTCGTGCTCTGTTTTAGCATCTCTTTATAGTATGTGATGTTATTTTCATTTGTCTAAACACTGTTTAAGTTATGTTCCCTAGTCCCTAGACTGATTTAATATCAAGATTTACCAAATCTAAGTAGAGGAGTGATCTGTCAGAGAATACCAAAGGAGTTCGTGAGCAGATTTGAGAACGACCTGTCTAGTGAGGCAACAGTTAGTGTTCCAGATGGTTGTATATGGAAGATGGAACTGAAGAAATCTGGAAACGAAGTTTGGTTCTGCAAGGGTTGGGACGAATTCGTGAAATACTACTCTATCAGTTTTGGCTTCTTTTTAATGTTTAAATATGAAGGCAATTCGCAGTTCAGTGTGGTTATCTTTGATATTAGTGCAGCTGAGATTCACTATCCCTACAAAATTAACTCTCAGACTGAGAAGCATAGAACAAAAAGAACATCCAGCTCTGATCAATGTGGCTACAACACAACGAGCCAAAGGCATGAGCTAGAAGAAGAAGAAATAATTGACCTAGACGATGAGACTGCATTAAACCAGGGTAAATCGGGAGACAAAGACAGATCTGAGCAAGGCCATTGTTCCAAAATGAAGAAGAGAAGTTTGAGTAAAAAGCAAAGAGCTATGGAAGCTGCCCAGAAGTTCAAACCAGCAAATCGATCTTTTACTGTAACAATAAGGGCATCTCATCTGAATCGTCGTTATCTGGTGCGGAATCGGGATGAGCTATGAATGTGATTGGTTTCTCACTTTGCTAGTGCGATTCTAACAAATGTAAATTCTGTTGCAGGATGTGCCAGCTTCATTTTGGAAGGATAATATGGGGAAGAAGAGTCCTACGAAGCTGCAGGACTCTAATGGACGAAAATGGGAGGTCAATTATGCTAAAAACCAGACATCTATGCGAATATGGAAGGGTTGGATCAGTTTTGCAAGGGCCAACAATGTGAAGGAAGGAGATGTCTGCGTGTTTGAGCTTATCAAGAGGAAAAACTACATATTTCGAGTTACCATATTTTCCTGTTGAAGATGCGCAGAAAACTTGTTTAGTTTCTTGTTATTATCATTACACTGTCTCTTTTTTCTTCATCTTTCTACTCCTCTGCCTTGTAATACTCGAATGGTTCTGGTTCTGGCAGAGAGCTTTGCAGCACAGCATTTCAACGTCCTTTTGAATCTTGTATGCTTGGTGGCATCACTTCGGGTTCTCTGTTTTCATTGTTTTATTATGTGATTATTTTTATCGTTTATTGATTATTACGAGTGATTTATGTATTTACAAATATAAAGTGATCTAGACTAGATGCATATGCTCAAATGGTTTATTCGACAGAAAAAGAATATGAGCCTATAAAGGTTTTGCTGTATCTCCAGACTCGAGATGAATGATGATATTGTAAATTGATAATAGCTTTCTTGATAATCTACATGGAAACTAGGGGGTTTTGGATTAACTTTTTAAAATAATTTTAGATTTTACGAAATTTGAGATTAATAAGTAAAAAAATTTGTCTTGATTTATATAAAAAATATTTTTTTGAAGTCAACACCTAATATGAAGAGTCTTAGTAAAATAAATATTATTTCAATGTTAAATACTATTTTCAGTCTTAATATAAGACTCTATTTGATTTTTATTGTAATTTTAAATATAAAATCTCAATCTATTTATTTCTTATATTTATATTATATATTTTTAAAATAACTATTCTAACAATAATAATTCTAGTCAATACATTGATTAGCAATAATATTTTAGAAAAGATAACACTTATTTAAAATAAAAACCAAATCAATTTATTTTTTTGATCTCCTCAAATTAGTCAACTGACTCTTATAATTAGAATTTAGAATTGTACGTGGCATATGATTATTTTTTACACATAGCGGGGATAATTATTTTGTTTAAAACAGTTGATGGGTTGACATTTGATTGATTGACAGATGGTAAAGTACGAGTCGGAGTGAGTATTGTACTATTATTACTGCCTGTAGGCTATAGATTATAGAAGACGATCCTACAGAGTTACAGTTTACGAAGCCACTTGCGATTCTTCTGAGATACGAGGACTAGGCGGAGCTTGGAGTGGAAGCGACTTACCGTTCCAATGGGGCCTCGCCGTAGAAATTTCGTCCGGCCATTGGGGTCTCCGGCTGATGCTGAATCCAGCCACTTCTTGAAGATCATACTTCCTGAAACTATTCGTGCCCAAAAACTGGTAAACTCTTCGCTTTTCTGTCTGCTCACACACCGAGAAAATGCAGAGTAGGGCTCCGGCTCCTTCTTACACAGTGTTTAACTTAAGGATCCTACTCAAGTCTTCTAATAGTTGCTATTTATGCCTCTCATGCGAAGAGAAATGAAAGAAACACATGGAAAGTTGATAGAATAGCAATAAAAAAAAAAAGTACAAGAATTGGGCTCGTTGCGTGTGATTTCGAATGAGTTGTGATTTCCTTGTTGTTATTCTAATGAAATATAGCAAATAGTATAGGAACTCAGGAGATTGTATTTTTCGTATAGCATTTAGGCTATTTGCGTACCCTAAAACTAATTAAGAGAAGTAGAGATTGTGTTTGTCAGTTAGTTCAAGAATTTAAGCTGGAAAACTGAGTGCTCTGTTTTCTGTTCAAGTTCGTGCTCTGTTTTGGCATGCAAAGAAATATTTCTTATATTTATTAATTCCTTCTAAATTACTCCTATTAATATTTTTTTAAGCATAATTAAGTAGAAGTAAAAAGAAAGATATTAAAGATGGTGGTTATGGTATCTTATATTTTTTATAATTATTAACTGACTTACGTAACTCTTTTTTAATCTAATCAAGTTATTTATATAGATTAAGTTAGGATTATCTGATATAATTTTCATTTGTGTCCAAAGGCTATATTTTGATGAACATCTCTGAAACACGTCTCTCCCTCTTGATTTTGTCTCTCGCTGAAACCGGAAAGGAACATTCTAACTAACTGATAGAACCATTTCATTCTACAAGGCTATGGAGAGCTCGACTATTCCAATGCTCAACCTTTTTCTTACATTTATCAGAAGTTTGTCTTACCTGCATTGATTTAATATCTAACTAATTAAAGGAATGATCCTGCAGAGAATTCCCAAGGAGTTCGCAAGAAGATATGAGAATGAACTGTCTACTGGTGAGGCAACGATTGGTATACCAGATGGTTGTATCTGGAGAATGGAACTGAAGAAATCTGAAAACGAGGTGTGCTTCGGCAAGGGTTGGCGGGAATTTGTGAAGTACTACTCCATTAAATTTGGCTTCATTTTAGCGTTTAAATATGAAGGCAATTCACACTTCTCTTTGGTTATCTTTGATGTGAGTGCTGCTGAGATTCACTATCCACTATGCAAAGATAACTCTGAGAAGCAGAACTTGGAATCCAAATGTCCTGGAAAAAAGTCCAGCTTTAATCACTGTAGCTACAACACAAGACGCAAAAGGCATGAGCTTGAAGATCAAGAAGAAATAATCGACATAGATTGTGCGAATGATCTGAGCCCTGGAAAACTAGGAAACAACAAAAGTTATAATTCTGCCGAGAATTCAAGAAAGCAAGAGAGAAACCGATCTGGGCCAGGCCGTTCTTCCAAAATGATGAAGAAAACTTTGAGTAGAAAGCAGAGAGCTATAAGAGCTGCCCAAATTTCCAACCAAAAAAACCATCCTTTACTGCAATAATAAAATCACCAAATCTGACTGCTCGTTATATGGTAAGGGAAATTCTATGAGCCATATAGGAATGTGATTCTTTCACAATTTCGTTAATTCGCTGCTCACTAATGGATGCAGGATGTGCCTGGGGCATTTTCGAAAGCTCATCTGGAGAAAGTTGATTCTGTGAAGCTTCAGGTTTCTAATGGAAAACGATGGGCAGTTAACTGTATTAAACAGCGTTCAAATGTTCGAATGTGTGGGGGCTGGATCGATTTCGCAAGGGCCAACAATCTGAAGGAAGGAGACGTCTGTGTGTTCGAGCTTATCAAGAGGAACAACTTTGTATTCAAAGTGACCATATTTGCCTGTTGACGTCCAGACCCTGGTCTATGTCGGTTCTTCTTATTGGGCTGACTCTTCTGGGCTGATTTTGTTGGTGATACCCTCTATCTTCATCCTTTTTTTTTCCCCCTCCGTTTTATTCCTTTGTGGGGTAGGATTGTGTGTAAACCTAGGAACTGGACATTTTCGCGTATGAGCTATGTGTTTGCTTCCATGTGATGTCTCTTTTACATTAAAAGGGCAAATATCAACATGATGTTAGAAATGAAATTAAACTCGTGACTTCTAATTCCAAAAACCTATCATAACTAAATTACAAGGTCGTTGACTTTTCCATGATGTCTCCGCGAAAAATGTCGTGGTAATATAAAAATGGGCTGGCATCTATTTAGTACTATCTCTGGTTCTTAATATAAGATTCTATTTGATTTTTATTTTGGTCCTAAATATAAAATCCCGATCCATTTTGTCTCTCATATTTATATTTTTTTTTCAAAGTAACCCTTTTAATAATAAGAGTTCTAGTCAATACATTTGATTAGTAAAGATATTTTAGGAAAAATAATACCTATTTAGAAAAAATAACTAATTTAACTTATTTTCTTAATCTTTTTGAATTAGTCAACTGGCTCTTATAATTAGGACCGGAGGTAGTATTAAAATATTCAAATCGAAGAAATTAAAGGACGAGAGTTGTCAAGTGAAAAAAAAAATAGTATATGATTAATTTTTTTCAACAGATGGATGTCAAATTGTCAATACTATGGTTAGTTAATATGATCCTTATCATTCTTGTCAGCTAATGTGCCATGCAAGTGTATGGCTAAGTTTTGCTAAATCTCAGCCTTTATTAAGCTCCTGAGTAGGGCAATCAATGAATGAGGCTGCTCTTTCCTTTGTTTATATGTTTTGTTAGCTGTGTCCAAATAGTCCAAAGGGAAGAAATGGATAAGATAAATCATAAAACTTTTTTTCCCCCTGAACCTTAACTACCTATAATTAGAACATTCACAGCCCATGCAGTCTCATGACAGATTTCCAAGTAACAAACTTTTGTGACCCCATAAATTAACCAACTTCTTCATTCACTTCAATTCAGAGAGCACAAGCATTCGTCTCTTACAGAAACAAAACGCCCACAATAATGGCTGATCAACTTTCAGATTCTCTCGCAACCGTCAGATCCTCATCAGGAGACGACATTATCATCGGAGATTCTCTTCAAACCAGCCAATACGCTGTCACGTTCGATCTTCGAACCACCATCATCATCGGCTTCTCCGTCTCACTCTTCTTTTGCGTCGTCTACCACATTCTCTGCAGCTTCTTCTACCGGCTCATCGACACCAGGATTTACCATCATCGCGACGTCAACGTCGAAGAAGGAACAGACCTAATGCCCGTCGACGGCGATACGTCGCGGTCGCAGCATCAGGTGGCGCTGTTTCAGGCTCTGGTTCTGAGCAACATGCAGGCTTGGGTGATGGTGGGAGCATTAATGGAGGATTCTTCGGAGGAGGTGGACGAGAGCAGAGGGGAAATCCTGAGGGCGATGCAGAAATTGCCGGCATTGGTGAAGTATGGAAGCGAGCATAATAATGAGAATAATGAAGTGACAAGAAATTGTATGGATTGCGTAATATGCTTGGAGGACTTTAAGGTTGGCGAACTGTGTCAGGTTTTCCCTAGGTGCAATCATGTGTTTCATTCGAGTTGCATAGATTGTTGGTTGGCCACCAAGCTTACGTGCCCAACTTGTCGGGGTTGCATTACATGATCCAAGTAGGGATTATGTTAGAGACAGGTTATGTTTTTTTTTTTTGGTCCCTGTTTGTGCATGAGGTCAAGCTCTGTTGTAAGTTGTTCATCATCAAATTGTGGGCGGTTGCAAATTTTTTTTAATCGGCGCCGATCTCAAATTTCTTATTAATACTACTTCTGTCTAATTATGAGAGCTAGTTGATTAATTTAAATAAATTAAGAAAAGAAGTTAAATTAGTTATTTGTAATAAATAGGTGTTGTTTTTCCTAAAATATCTTTATTAATCAAGTGTATTAGTTAGAATGACTATTGTTAGAAGGACTTTTTTAGGAAAAAAATGCATAACTATGATAGACAAAATAGATTGGGGTTTTATATTTAGGATCAAAATAAAAGTCAAATAAGATCTTATATTAAGGATAGGAGGTACTATATAAAAACTGGATAATTAATTTACAAATATTAAAGATATTAGTTAAGTTAGTTATTTGTAATGTATTAGTATTATATTTAAAACCAAATTAAAAAATTAGAGGAAGTTAGAAGACAATGAAATGATTTTATTTCACAAAATAAAGAGATGACATCGCAACTCCTTCAAATCATAAATTTCATGGTTTCGTCTATGCATGCACTTCATAATGCATACTAGTATAATGAAGCAAACTCCTCTTATGTTTTTCATCGAGACCCATATATGTCTGTATATCAAAGAAAGAATCACCATAACACATCAGACGGAAAAGAGATCGTTGCACCAAACAAAACTCCCCCAATCCTTAACGTATGATTTAATTATTAAATAGATATTGATCCTAAATATAAATTTTTATTTTGTTTTCGACGTAAATTAGAGAGGGAAATAAGTTTTTTTTCTTACTAATGTTTTGTTCAAATTTTAAATGTATTAATAAAGCAATAAATATGAGTCATTATAATTTATTTTTGGGTATTCAAGTTTGTCATAATATGTGTATATCCGGGTTTCAGATCCATATTCTTCTTATTTATACCGTCTGTTACACTTTTGAAGTTTTTTTGCCAACTGTTACACTTTTTACTTTTTATTTTTTAATACAAGTTACATTTTAATTTTATTTCCTTTGCATATAAATTTTTTTAAAAAAAAGCGCAAAATGTTCACGTTAAAAAGTGTCTCTTGGCATTGCAATTGATATTATTGATGATCTTCCTAAAAAGCATTGATTGAGACTGATCTTGTTATTGTGAGGTAAAAAATAGATCGATAATGTTATTAATTTTTATGATTACGTTAAGACAATGTTCTCTCCGGGGGGGGGGGGGGAAACGTTACGTTAATCAATAATTTTCCTTTTTCATGAACCTGCAGGATTTTAACTTTCTAAAAACTCTGATTTCTGGAGACTCACCATCTTCATTCCGGCGACTTCATCGGCGTTCCTTCTTCATCCCCAATCATCTCCGTCAGTCTCTATCATTACTGTCATTTTCACACGCAGCTTCGTACTCTTCCAAGATCTGCTTCAAATCAATGACACAAAAATAAATCCACTCAACGATTCCCATGAATCACAGCAACAACGGTGGCGACGACCATAACAATGTGAACGTGGAAGAAGACCCGACGACGGCCTGCATCGCCGCCATTGGAATCGCCTTACTCCTAAGGCTTATGTGCTTCATTTTCGCTATTCCTCCAGTCCTCGCCGTCTTCATCTTCTGCCTCGCCTCGATCACCTTCATACAGTTCTGGTTCAGAGAAGATGAGCCGGAGATCGAACACATGGAGGATTTCGACTTTACGGGCAGAGACCTAGAAGACAACGAGAAGGCAGTGAAGTTTCTGGAAGCATTCTTGAGGGCATTGAAGGGGAAAGAAGAAAGAGGAAGAGACGGGAGAAAGAAGAAGGAAGGGTCGAAGAACGCGGAGGGTAGCATTAAGTGTTTCGGGAGCGAAGAAATAGTGGAATTAGGTTACAGGGAGTGTTCGATTTGTATTGATGATTTCCAGAAAGGAGAGAAGTGTCTGGTTTTTCCGCGTTGTGGCCATATATTTCACTGCAGGTGCATAGCGCGCTGGGTGAAGTTGAAGATGAAGAAACTGACGTGTCCAGTTTGTCGTTGCAGCTTCGGCTCGAATGCAAACGGAACCGGAGGATTCAGAAGGTGCTCATGCGAATTTGCGGCCCCTTGTCCTGCCACTTAATTTTCTGATTATGGGCAAATATTTTTTCCATATTTTTAATATAATTTTTGGTCCTTTAAATTTGGACTTATTTTTATTTTAGTCCCTTAAATTTTGAATCATAATTTTATCCTTAGAATTTAGTCTGTCTTGAAATATTAGTCCCCAAAAGTGTAATAGTCTTAAAATCTACTAAAACATCATAATCAATATTAAAGTGATGGTGTAAACTCACTAGATGGCATTTAACTAAATCTTGTATGGATGATAAAGAAGAAAACCTGTTTTTTTCTTCCTCATTGATAGTTTTCAAGAGTTGTTCACTGTGCTGCATTCTGTTATTCACGCAAGATCCAGTTAAATATTATCTAATAAGTCCACATCACCACTTTTAACATCATTGATGACAATTCAGCATATTTTAATACTATTGCATTGTCAAAGACTAACGTTTTAAAACAGACGAAATTTCATTAAAATTTGAGAGATTAAAATTAAAATGAGCTCAAATTTAAAAGACTAAAAATTATATTAATCCTTTTTATGGTTAAATTCTACGTAAATACATAAAAGTTTGATATCCCATAACCAAATAATGGTGCAATTTTTTTAACGATTCTTTTAAAAAAATTGTACTCCTTCGGTCCTAATTATAAGACCCAATTGACTTATTTGAGGAGATTAAGGAAGTAAGTTAAGTTGGTTATTTATAATAAATAAGTGTTGTCATTCTTAAAATATCCTTGCTAATTA